TCCACCCTGGCATTTCTCATAATGTACTCAGCATATAAGTTAAATAAGCAGGGTGACAGTATACAGCCTTGTCGTACACCTTTCCCTATATTGAACCAGTTGGTTGTTCCATGACCGGTTCTAACTGTTGCTTCTTGGCCCGCATACAGATTTCTCAGGAGACAGGTAAGATGGTGTGGTACCCCCATCTCTTTAAGAATATAGCCATAGAGCTCTAGTAAATAAGTAAGTAAATATATAAAATATTTAACAAATATTTATATAGTGCAATTTTAGAAGAAAGTAGTGCCATCTACAAATATCTTCATGACTTGCTGAAACGGGTGAGGAGACTGTCTTATGAAATCATGCGATGGCAAATTGTAACGAGTACAAAATATACTGTATTTTACTCCTTGAGGAAAGCCTGGATATAAAACTTTCTTTTTTAACTAGAATAATAGAGTAAGTTATCTGCACACTTGGTCTGAAATGCTGTTTGTTATGCATGCAGTACTGATTGGTGTTTGGTACTCTACTTTGCCCTTGAACTTATTACAGTTAGCCACATCTTGATGTGCAATTTCTCCTGAGCTGTTTCTAGAATCTGATGTAATAAGACTCCATAGAACATGATCCCTAAATCCTTGGCAATGCACTGAAATATTATGTTAGGAACTCCTATTATTTGTCAGGACCATTAGAAATTATCCTAAGATTCCTGTCAGCATTTGGCAGATTATAGCCAGTGGGTTTTTAGTGTTTATAAGATCATCTATCATAATTCCTAAATGTACTTGCCCATTTATATACAGTACATCAGGGAATAACTTATACAGTATTCAGCTGTTGTTTATAATGTTTGTGAGCTTATAGACTGGATGGGTAAGGTCCAGGATCTTTTCCTGGATTCAGGGAATTAACACCATGGCTCAAAGCAATACATCAGAAACACATGGATGAAAGAGATGCAGCTATCAGAAGTTGGGCACCAAGTGTTAATCAGCCCTTACACCTGTAGTTGTTGCTGGGCCAAATCAGTAGTTGTGCTGCTAAATGTTTAAGAATCAGCTTTGTCAGCTCCATTGCTGCCTCTGTGTTGCTAGCTGTAGAAAAGCTAATTGGCACACTAGGCATCGAGGCCAGTCCTTAATTTTGAAGCTTTTGTTTCAACCAATTTTAATTAAAGGTATTGTCCTGAAAAACACATATATCAGAAGCGTGTTTCATGAACATAGGGAGAAGCATCTATGCCTGTGGACATCACACTACCCCTGATGCGGATAACTGGAGGATAAATATCTTCAATTAATAATCTGGCTCCATTTCAATCCTGCTTTCAACCCAATGTTGGGAGTGAACCTTGGCTGATGGCCCACATCAGGAGTTGTGTAGAGATAATCTGTCCTTCAGTTCTGCTGGTTCTATGAGGAATAGAATAATATTCTTCAGAACCAAATGGCTAGAAAGGAATTGGTTTCACAGTGACTCTAGAAGTGGTAAGGGCTGCTCTCAGAAATGATAACTGCTCAGAGAGGGTGAGACAGGAATGTATTTGGCCGATGTCCTGTTTAACTTCTACATTCACTCAGTGGAAGAAATTTCAGACCACTCTGATTTCTATACGCCCCAAATTGTCAGATGTTAATATTCCTAAATTCTTGTATGTGGAGGATGCAGGCATCATCTTGTGTCCTGCCACTTAGCTTAAAAAAGCATTAAAATCTATAATCCATTCTGCAGACAGATGGGCTGGTCATTAATTTCCAAAATAAAAAATTCTGGTATTTGTCAAAAAAGCAAAATTGAAAGAATGGATCACTGAAGGGAACAGAAAAGGTCCATACTGACATTGATATTTCATTCTATGGAGATCTGAAACAGGTCATTCAGATGGCATCAAAATCCTCAATGGCCCTGGGGGATTCTTCCTCACCCAAGGAGGAGAAATAATAGCAACAGCTTTCAAATTTGAGGCCAAATTCTTGACTTACATTTTATATGGTGCCCAAAAAGGAATTCATGCAAAGAACCCAACAAGAATAGTGCAATCAAAATTCCTGATGCCCATTCTTACTGCCCACAAGGGTGTAGCTAATGCACTATTCAGCCAAGACTGGGATGCCTAAAATCAAATTGAAGTCTTGGAGGATCAATTACTGGCTTAAGAACCAGTTTTCCCCACAGGCTTATTACCCGTAGCTCTGGCAGATGACCACTCATCCAGTTGGAAAACAGCAGCCGAACAGAAGTTAAACTCGGAATGGGGGATTACCATAGAATGTCTTTTATCTGTATGTATGAACAGGCTAAACAGACATTTCTCCAAAGGCAAAATATCAGAATGAGGTTAATAAGATCTCGCCAAGCAGGAGAATGTAGGTAGCACAATACCTGCAAATTATGTAAATACATTTACCTTTCCCAGATTGAGAAAATATACATATATACATACATACATAGACACATATATAGGCTAGACCAGTGTTGTCCAAACTTGGCCACTTTAAGATGAGTGGACTTCAACTCCCAGAACTCCCCGAATTCCCCAGCCAGCCACTGGGCTAGACACTATGTTCTCCCTTCTGTACTTGCATTTATTTTTATTTATAAAACTTCTATGGCCACCTATTTTATATACAATAATTCTAGGTGGCTCCCAACAAAACCATTAAAAACAATAAAACAATCATGTCGCCCACACATGAAGCTTTTGCCCATGTGAAGGAATCTGGAGGGATTGAAACAATACAACCTATCTCAAATATTCTGTATTCCCTTTATACTTTCCAAACAAAAGCCTGTAAGAACCCTCTTACCTGGCAGAACAGATCAGTTTTACATTAAGTGTCAGATGTGAAACATTCCATCACACACGCGTCAGCCAAATTCTGTGTCGGTACAATGAAAAAAAACTGATGCATACCCAACCGAACCTTGTCTTCCTGATGAATGTCTTTCTGTAATTTTGCTGATTGCTCATTGCAAATAAAAACATCCATTCATTCAGTCCTTTGCTATTGGCCAATTCTATTCTTCTCCTGTTCTGTTTTCCATCAAACTGCTGGAAGAGGTTGTCCAGGAATGTAGTGTCATGTTACTCCTATGCAGAGAACACCCAACTGTACTTCTGTAACTAATGATTCTTGAGATTCTGTACAAGGGGTGGAGAATGGTGACAATCTAGATGAGAGTAAATGTGTTGGAGTTCTGTGCCATTTGATGCTGTTCCTAAATCTGGCCTTGAGCCTACATCCTTTGGCAATGATTGTGATCTAGCATGGCTTTGACCAATGCAGATTAATGTTCCAGCTATATAAATGTTGAAGAATACAGGTCTAGGCATAGTGACATCTTTATCCCATCATATTCTGAGCAACTAGAAAGTGCCCTCTGACTTTTAACACATCTCTGGAAATGTACTTTTTAAAAATTTATTTATAACGATCATTGAAAACAGAAAAAAAGAAGGAAAAAGAGACCATGTTAAAGATTTGGGCTCCTGTTCCTTTTTTGCCTGCCAAATTTTTTTTGCCAGCCAGCATCATACACGAATTGGTTACGTCCAATTCTTTCATCTGCCTCAACGTTTTTTCCCCCAGCAAATGGGTTAGAGTTCAGATTAGAATCAGTGGTTGATAGTTACCTCTATAAATGTATGTACCCCTGCCAGAACCACAATAAGGCGGTCGCACCAATTGATTATGTCCACAGCAGGCAAAAACTTTACAGACGTGAGAGTTTAACACGAGTGGTAGGCAAAAAAGGAAAGTCAACATTTACAAAAACTAATTTTAGCCGGAAATCTCAATGGGGTGACTGGATTATTGCCTAGAGCACTATTTCATAACCTTGACGACTTCAAGACGTGTGGACTTCAACTCCCAGAATTCCCCAGCCAGCAATG